GGTGTGTTTTACACTATCACTCACAGCAGATTATAAATATATTTAGATCATACCTTGGCTGCTTTAGGTTCAATCATACTCAGAATCTTCTGATAATATTCTGCTGCATCCTGCTGCTCACAAACTAAAATAAAAGGTAAGCTATGAAGGGATTTGTTTATACAAAAACTGTTTTTTTTTACGTGTTTACCAGTATGAATGCTACAATATAAGACTTGTACACATAACTTACCATTTCCAATTTCTAGAGCATTTGTGACTCCATGTGTAGTGGCACTTTTAGTATTGGACTCTAAATCTTCGAATAACTTTTGAAGTTCAAAAGAAAGACTTTTCTTTTTCTTCTTACCTTCTTTATTTAAGCTGTAGAGCAACACAGTATTTGTGTCATTGCTATGATTGTGTGTTATAAAATATCATGATTTTGCAAGTCAAAGATAGAAAACTCACTCCATGATGACTTTTCTGAAATCCTTTGTCATGAAGAGCGTTTGCAGCACTGCATTCAGATAACATGTGGCTCCTTGATTCCTCAGTCCCCTGTAGCCTTCAAATGAAAGGATACTTTAAAAGACTTTAAATTTCAGCAGTGCAACAAAGGAAAGTATTTTTTATTAAAAAATAATATACACTCTGAAAGCTCATGATATTGACCTCACTGTTTATATCAAATATAATATTTCAAATGCATTTCACATAAAGTTCACATAAAAATATAACCACGTGATTATAATTTAGAAAAAAAAACACTTTACCAAACACAACAAAACAACAAATAAAAAAATGTAATAAACAAAAAAAGGATAGGCGTGCAAATAAAAGAGTAAAGCTTAATATGGAGAAATTTGAATATACAAATGTATACATGTATACATGTATATATCAGGGCAAAGACACAGGAGGGTAATTAGCTCCTGAGCAAACACAAAGAAAGTAGCTGTAGGCTAACTGAAAAGGTAAGACGTTAAAGAGTGGGTCATATGGGTTTTTGAAAAATATATTTTTTGTAAAGTAGCTATCCTTCAATGTAAACAATCTGCAAAGTTGTTATTCAAAAAAAGTGCATGACAAATAAAGATATTGTCTCTCAAAAAAAGTTGACTCTGAACTGCCTTAACGAGTAGTCATATTTTTGAATCTTCTGCCTGTTACAGATCTACGTCACTCAGTAACACATTTGCATAATCCCCACCTGCCTGGGAAATACGAACACTCTGACTCTGTTTACATCATGTCGAGAAGATGCTGTGTTTTGCTCTGTGAAAGCAAGTTTGTTTTGTTTTCATTGCTGAAAGATGATGATGTGAAGAATCAGTGGTTCAAATTCATTTTTTCCACAAAAATACAATTCGAAACTTTTGTTCTTGTGCTCATCATTTTAACAAGGACTGCTTCTGTAATCTTGGCTTTTATCTTCGTTGGCTTCTAATCTTTTTTATTTGGACTAACAAGTGTCTCCGAACCACAACCTGTTTCGCAAGCTCTCGATTCAATTCGATTCAATTCTTGATTCGATTCTCGATTTTTTGATTACATTGTGAATATAGTTTTAATAAAAATGCTATTGATATTTGTAAAGATGAAGATGAAGGCATAAAACATTAATTTAATTTATTCTAATCAAATGAAAATTAAACCCTTTTTATTTTTTGGGCAAACAAAGTACTGCACAACAGAGGTTTAATGTTCAAATTAAAAAGAAGAAGTATTAGTAGTAGTAGCATTGCTGTTACATTGAGTCTTAAAGGGGTCATATGATGCAATTAAAATTTTTCCTTTCTCTTTGGAGTGTTACAAGCTCTTGGTGCATAAAGAAGATCTGTAAAGTTGCAAAGACTAAAGTCTCAAATCCAAAGAGATATTCATTACAAAAGTTAAGAGTTAACCACACCTACCTAAAATGGCTCGTTCTAACACGCCCCCACATGTCTACATCACTATGTGGGAAGACTTGCATAACGCCGCCCAAATGCTCACGCAAAGAAAGAAGGAGTAACTTTTATTCTCGCTGTAGTACTGTTGCTGCCGCCATGTCGTGAAGACACTGTGTGTTTCGTTGTGAAAGTGAAACTACTTTGTTTGGTCTTCCAAAAGAGGACGATATCTGCTTCGTCATGCCT